ATCAGATATGGCTCAGAATAAAAGCCAGTGGCGATCCTGCTGTAATCTTCTTTTACTTTCTTCATAAAAAGTGGTTGTACCTTCCCTAACTGAAAGAATTCCTTCTGGTTGTACCTTTCCGTTTCCCACACTATTATTATTATTATTATTATTATTATTATTATTATTATTATTATTATTATTATTATTATTATTATTAGTTGGCTACCATACACTAATCTGTAGTCGTTATTGTTCCTTTTTTCTGATACGCACCTTACATTCTTTTTCTCGTCCCATTCTCATTGTTTTGTGTGGCGCATATACATCTGGTGCCCCCTTCTACCAATATTTGTGTTCAAATAAATAATAAATAAATAAGGCTGTAATCAGTGCTAGCGTAGACAGAAACAACAAGAAGGCCACGACGTGTGTCCCTAATCTTCCGAGTTCTTATGGAGCCGTTTAGCCGAACAGCACATAGATGACTGTTAACGGGGACCCACTGTAATAGTGCTTGTTCCGCCCTCGTACTTAGTGCTATGCCTACACCTACCAGTCCATGAGGACTTGCCATCGGGTTGCCAGATACACGGCGGGTGTATCTCGTCGCCTCCCGCGTCTTGCCGAGGTGAGGTCAAGTGAGTGAGCACACTAGGATCCTGTATGCGTGTTTCGGAAACACAGCATACATCAATGGTACGAGATTCTAGAGTTCCAACGAAGGAGGCCTGCCGGCCGACTTAACATAGGGTGTATACGTTGAAAGCTCTGTGTAGTTTGATGCGAAGTTTCAACAAACTTGGGACAGTGTTTTGCGCACCAGAATCGTTTACTATGGTGATACTTGAGAAGGAAGCTTAGTGGTGAAAGTCGATGTAGGAGGAATAATGGGAATTAAAGAGGGAGGTTCATTATGAATACAGTGGTCTTGAGTACTGTTACAGGTATGAGAGCATTCACTACTTCCTGGTTGCCCACACCGTGGAAGGGTTATTCTGGAAGTACCTGGAAAACAAATTGGGTTAGGGCTGGTCTTAGTGACCTGCGGTCGGTAACACACGACCTTTTTATGAGTATTTTTGTGTTAGTTCCGTACTTGTTGAGACCTTACCGCCGGAGACGGATATCCGTGGGATAAAGCGAGGTGTGCACTTTTAGGGTTGACCTTTTCTGACCCCACCACTGCTTGTGAGAAGACAGCATCGCTGCAGATGCTGGTCGTTTGAAGGAAACACCTTACTGCTGTCACACCTCTGTACAGTCAGCAGTACGACTTCGCTTTCGGACCTTGGGTTTGTTGCTTTAAGTCTTACCGCTCTTCAACCGGTCTGTCTGGCATGGTAGGACCTTGAGGAACGATTGTTCCAACCAATATAGCTCAGCTGCTTCATTACGATAGGTGAGCCCAACCACCACGTCAAGGTAGCGACAACGGTAGGGAAGATTGTCAGTCAGTCAGCTACAACGTAGGACCAGGCACATATGTGCATCGGTCCAGGTTGCCATACCGCATCAGCACAACAAGATGAACACCGGATTCATAACAGTGGTTAGATAAAAGGTGGTAGTATATAAAAGAAAGATTGCATATAGAGATATAGTACAAGCAGAAAGAATTGGTTCGTAGAAAGAAAGATATGAAGCGATTTTAATCTCATAGTTTAAGGGAAGACAGGGAGTGTATACACCGACGCCATTGTGATCGATTCTGAGCCATGTCACCAAGAGTCTCCAACCATTGGTTACGATAGTCACGCGGACCCCAACCAAGTAGTATGCATCTACCAACATGGCTCAGACTACAAGTTAGTGACTTCAAGCACTGATGCCACGTTTTGGTTTGACCTCCCCTAACTTTCTTCCAACCGCCTCCAACACTGGTTAGCATTGCAAGTCGTGGTAATCGGTGTTCAGGCATACGTAACACGTGGCCCAATCATCTCAGTCAATGAAGATTCACAACCTCATCAACTGATTTACCATCATTCTCTAATACCCTGCGTCTAACCTCACTATTACTTACCCGGTTATCCCAGCAGACGCCAGCAATATTTCTAAGGCATCTGTGGTCAAATACTAATAGCTTACGAGTGTCTTCTACTCTTAATGGCCATGTTTCGCTGCCGTAAAGTAATACAGAACGGACTGCTGCGCAATATACTCGTCCTTTTATTGGTAGACGGATATCTCGCCTTCGCCAAAGGTGACGTAAGTTGGCAAAAGCCAAACGAGCTTTTCGAATCCGTGCTGAGATTTCGTCCGATACCAACCCATTAGGACTGATCAGACTTCCAAGATAAGTGAAGTTGTCAACGCATCCGACTACTTCACTTTTTATCCTTAGTTTAGGTGTTGACGCAGACCAGTCCTGAAGCAACAACTTGCATTTAGAGGGAGAGAAGCGCATTCCAAACATCCTGGCATTGTTGCTCAGTGCTACCAGAAGACTCTGCATTTTGTCAGCGTCTTCACCAAACAGGACTATGTCATCTGCGTATTCTAAGTCGATAAGTGGACCTCCTGGAAGGAGATCAATACCCGAGAACTCAGTCGACGAGAAAGTTATTTCCATCAGTAGGTCTATGATGAAGTTAAACAAAAATGGGGAAAGTGGACATCCTTGACGGACACCACTTGAGGTTGCGAAATCAGATGACAGTTCACCATAAGCTCTGACTCGACTAGTAGTGTTCAAGTAAAGAGCCTTCACAAGGTTTATGTACTTCTGGGGTACGCCTTTCAATGACAGACACTCACAGAATCTCGCGGTCTACCGAGTCAAATGCTGCTTTTAAGTCAAGAAAGACCACCGTCGTCGGACGCCGATAAGTATGCCTGTGTTCTAGAACCTGACGAATGGTGAATATGTGGTCGATACAGCCACGACCAGGTCTGAAGCCAGCTTGGTTTTCTCGTGTTTGCAGTTCGCGAGTCTTAGTTAGGCGTCTGATTATTATTGAGGCTAGTATTTTAGATATTATATTAGTTAAACTAATCCCTCTGTGGTTGTCACAGGATGATTTTGACCCTTTCTTATATATTGGGACGATAAGTGATTGTGACCAGTCAGATGGAATAACGTCTAACTCCCAGATCTTAGCTAAAATATTAGTCAACCTAATCGCTAAAATTGGACCACCATCCTTAAAGACTTCTGGAGCCAGTCCATCTGGACCAGCTGCCCTTCCTCGTTTCAGATTATCTATAGCCTTTTGAACTTCAGCAAGAGTTGAGGGACCGACCTCAATGTTCCATTCACGCTGTCTGGGAATGGAGGGTAGTTGTAGAGTAGCTGAAGGCCAGCTGAACTGTTCTCTGAAATGTTCCGCCCATCGTTCTAAACGCCTGGACTGGAAGCAGATGAGTGTATTGTCTTTTTCCGATATAATCTCACTTACACTTGACTTATTAATTCCAGTTTCTTTTGTTAGTCTGTAGAGCTGTCTTGTGTTCCCTATAGTCGCCGCCTTTTCCATCTCTTTTGCTTTCGTTGCCCACCACTGCTCACGGTCGTTTCTTAGACTTTTTCTTAACCTAGATCTGATTTGTTGTCGCTCTTCATCGTGTTAAGAGCCTGATGGGATGAATTTACGAGAATCCATCAGTGCAATAGACCTTGAGGAAATCCATTGGTTCTTTGTAACCCTGTGGTTTAAATCACTAATAAATGTCACTGCTGTTTCGACAGCTGTTTGTATAGCTTTCCAAGCAACATCTGGGTTAACCTCGTTTTCAGAACTACCTAAGTGTGACCTCAGTTGTTCCTGGAACTTACTTTTGGTTTTCTCGCTACTCAATTAAGTTCTAATGTGGCTTTTTGAGTCCAGTGAGGCGCAAGCAGATGCGTGCCCGTATTAGGGCGTGGTCGGAGTCCAAGCAGGTACTCCAGAATGAGCGACAATCTTCTATCGACCCTCTCCAACGATGACTGGTGGCAATATGGTCTATTTGAGTCCATCGTTGGTTTGGTGTAGGGGGTCGCCATGTTAGACGATGTCTCTCCTTATGCTTAAAATTTGTGTTTGCTAAAAATAAGCGATTGTCTGAGCACAGTTGCAGCAGACGGTCACCATTATCTGTTCGCTGTGCCGGAATGCTAAAATATCCACCTAAATGCCTTTCTGTTTGGTTTAAGCTACCTATCTGAGCATTAAAGTCACCCCTTACGAGTACTATGTCTGAGCGTTTAGCTTTCTGAAGAAGTTCAGAAAGCTTTCTGTAAAATTCATCTTTCACATCATCTGAGCTGCAGTCAGTGGGAGCGTAGGCAGAAACGACAAAAAGGCAACGACGTGTGTCCCTATCATTCCGAGTTCTTACGGAGCCTTTTAGCCGAACAGCACATAGACGACTGTTGACGGGGATCCACTCTAGCAGTGTTTGTTCCGCCCTCATGCTTAGTGCTATGCCTACACCTGCCAGTCCACGAGAACTGGCCATCGGGTCAGGGAAGATTGTAAAGGTAACTGTAAGGAATCATTCTGTTTGAGGAAGATCAAGACCAGTCATGAGTTAATTGACGATAATCGAAACAGTTGTAAACAACAAAGCCGACACTTTATGAATTATTACACGTTTAGAGAATTTGCAAGCAAGTTACGAAGTTTTTCCAGTTGGATTATCTATGCCAACTCTTGATTCGAAGATGATAATGTGACTTAGGTAAATCACGCTTGCGAAAACCTAAAATTTACTCAGTCAGAAAGTCCTCCTTTCTAATTTAATGCGGCTGATAATTTCTCTTAGTCTAAACATTTAACCACCACATATACTTAATGAAAGGTGAAAAATGAATAAATCCATCTAATATCAGTTTCAAAAGTTGGTAATGCGGTGATACCTTATGTAAGTAACAATATTTTAAACTCGCATTGATCAGTTACTCTTACGGAATAACATTTGTATGAATACATTGATTCGTTTTAACAGATTAAACACACGCAAAAAGCACATTTTATGTTTAACAATAATATATACATCAAAATACTGAATATACATGAACAAACAACAAAGACTACCCATATTTCCTGTTTTCGAGACAATCCAAGAAAAAATATGTGCGTCAGAGTTAAATGTAAGGTTCCACGAATATGTGCATTACCATCGAATTGATCTATGTAGAAAACGTCATTTACCTATAAGAAATAATACGTTTTATGATAAAAGCAGTTGCAAAGTTTGTTTACAGAAAAAGTTACTTTAGTAGTCGTTATCTCTCTGGTACTATGATTAATATTTGACAAATCATAGTTTTAAGTTATTTTAACTATTGCATACATCGATCTAATAGGTACAGTATCATCGATAATAAAGAGTTCGTATGAATGGAGTGACAGCATTTCATTATCATTTCAACACAAACAAAGGTACGAGAAGGCACCAAATAGGTATGCGCCACATAAATCGTTCGATTTGTGTGAGGGCTGGAATACTGCACCGGTGCCCAGACAGAAGCAGGTGGCTTTCGCAGGGGACCACACCCAGAGTCTTTGACCTAAAGGTCTGACCAACAAGACAGTAGAGCAACGTAAGGAGATGCAGTACCATGGTAGCCGGTGACCAACGATTGGTTCATACGCCAAATTTTCCATCAGAAACCTGGAGCCCATGTTCACTGTTGGTTTGGAATCAGGTTTTGCCAATTCCTTTAGGTGAACCCTCTGTATTCATCGACCCGGTCAAAGTGCCGGGCATTCGCTTTTCGTCCTCTCAATCTCGTAATCAATACCTCTGCCGCAAGAAGGCGGGGAGTTGAACTTTGCAGGAAGTGGTTGTATGCACATTGCTGTGTGAGAGCATTTGTAGAGGGAGAGCTGACTCTCCCACTCTCGGTTGCACCAAGGCACTAGGGGCAACCCCAGGGGTATGCTATGTGCTTCCCCTAAACGATGTTTAGAACTGAATTTGACTGATCATTGTTGACATATGACTAGAGTCAGTTCAGAAATATCAACAATGAGGAAAATACAAACCTTTTCTAATAAAGAGCATATTTTCACAACTTAAACAGCGAACTGATCTTAGCTTAACCAGCATTGGAAATCTGATCTTAATCAACAAACCTTGCTGGATAGAGTAAAGTATAGTCAAACTAATGGTGAGAAATGTTCTAGTTTATGAGTATAGTACTTTGACTTAAGCCCGCAAATGCCCTGGTATGGCCGAGAGCAGGGAGGACCTACCCTCCGTCTCGAAATGCTCTCACACGACCACACACACACAGCCTATGCCAGGGAAGTCCTAATCACTGCTTTCTCACACCACGGGTGATGTTTACGAAATTGAGAGGAAGGAAAGCGAATGTCCGGCGCTTCAATCGGGCCGGTGGACACGGTGAGTCCACATAGGGGAGCTGGGAAACCCTGATTCCAAACCGACAGTGAACATGGGCTCCAGGTTTCTGATGGAACAATTGGTGTATGAACCGATTGTTGGTCACCGGCTACCATGGGAATGCATATCCTCACGATACTCCACTGCCTTATAGATAAAACATTTAGGTCAAAGGCTCGGGATGTGGCCCCCTGCATCGGTCTGGGCACTCGGACAGTATCACAGCCCTCACACAAATAAAATGAAATGACGATATTTACTGAAAATACCATTCGCGCCTCGATTTGCAGTCAAACAATTCACATTATTATCATTAATTTTTACTACATCACTTATTCGCTATTTTTTATTCCGGCTTTGGGTATCCTTATTTTTCAACTTGTACAGCAGCTCGCCTATGGTGGAAACTCGGTTCTATCTAAAAGTTCTCGAGTCACTGTCCGGTTGAAAACTGTATGTTAGTGATTGGACTTCTGTTCTCCGTGTTGTATTTGAGGACCTTGGCTTTCTCCTTGTGTATGTTGAGGCCTACTGATGCAGAAACTGCTGCTACACTGGCTGTATTTATTTCCATTTGTTCGTGTGTGTGCGATGGGAGGGCTAGGTCATCTGCGAAGTCCAAATCGTCTAAGTGATTCCGAGCAAATAATGCACGACGTGGAATTCTCTGAGACGACATTCGTAGAACATGTCCAAGCCACCGAAGTCGGTGTTTCAAGATGGTGACACCAATTGAATTATCGTCTCTGTGCCCAAACACACGATGCCGAACCTCTGCATTACTAACATGGTGTTGCCACTGAATGTCAGCAATCCTTCGGAGACAACGATGATCAAACACAGAGAGTCGTCTAATATCCTCAACTCGGAGAGACCAGGTTTCACAAGCATAGAGCAAATCTGCTCTTACCGACGCGTTGTAGATCCGACCTTTTACAGCCAGACTAACATCACGAAGGAGCCAAAGATGGCCCAGATTGGCATAAGCCGCTCTGGCTTTCACGATACGTGCATTGATCTCACCACTCACGCCACCACCAGCACTTATGCAGCCACCTAGATACACGAACTTCTCGACTACTTCTACCTGCTCACCATCCAGGGTGAGTACAGCATTGGAATCCTGCCAGTCTTGCAGAAGTACTTTGCACTTCGAAGGTGCAAAGCACATACCATACCTACGGACACTGATTGCCAACTGATTAAGTGCAGATTGCATGGCTTGGGCATTATCGCACAATAAGACAATATCGTCTGCATACTCAAGGTCGAGAAGTCTTTCTCCAGGCAACATATCCACACCACCATTACTTACATTCATCAGAGCTGTTTCCAGAATGTCATCGATGGCAAAGTTGAAGAGGAATGGTGAGATTGGGCAACCCTACCTAACCTCACTGCTCGAATGGAACAATGAAGAGAGGTAGTTGTATGCACTCACTCTGCCTGGGGTGTTTTTATATAGGGCTTTTAGGATGTTAATAAACTTCTCAGGCACACCGTTCTTCAATAGACAATCCCAGAGAACAGTCCTGTCCAACGAATCGAAGGCAACAATGATGTCAAGAAACACTACGATTGTTGGCCTTTGATAAGTATGGCAGTGTTCTAACATTTGGCGGAGGGTGAAGATATGATCAATACATCCTCGACCAGAACGAAACCCAGCCTGCTCCTCGCGAGTCAATCTTTCTCGGGTTTTGAACAACCTACGAAGTATGACGGAAGCCAATAGCTTGGACGCAATCGGAAGTAGACTTATCCCCCGATAGTTGTTACAGGAACAACGTGAACCCTTTTTAAAGATAGGGACAACTATCGACTCGTTCCATGACGTTGGTACACTCTCTAGTTCCCAAACTTTTGTAAACAACGTCGTCAATTCCTTAGTCAAAAAGTCACCACCATCTTTAAAAAGAGCCGGAGGTAAGTCATCTGAGCCAGGTGATTTGTAACGCTTCAAGAGTTGGAGTTCCTTGCGGACTTCCTCCTCGTTTGGTGGATCAGTCGTCACCGGCCATGGAGGGCAGGACAGTCTGACCGATGTTGCCGGAGCAGCAGGCCAGTTGAACTGCCCTTCGAAAAATTCTGCCCATCGTCCAAGACGTCGATGGATGTTAGTGATTCGCATCCCATCATCCTCACAGATCGTTTCTGTTAGCGGGACATAGACTAGACTAAAGCATGCTCAATGCGTGATTGCTTTGCTGAACGCTGATTGGCTAATTCTTATCCAATCAGCACTAGTCGATTGTTGGAGAATACTCTGGAATCTTCTTATGTAAAAACTATAAATATACTGACGTTTTCCCTATTGTGCTTCTGGCTTGCATCTTGTTTCCATCTAACCTTGTTATTTGGAATATAACCTCTTTCCTGTTCAACCGTGTTCTGATTTGGGGTCTTGTCGAGTGAATCGGTGTCGAAGAATACTAAGCAATAGGAATAGCTGGGTTATACTGTAAGAAAGAGATTATAACAGTGGCGACGGGAAAAAAGGAAAACAAATTCAAGATGCCCATATCAGATGACCAGCTTAACCGAATACTACAACAACAGCAAGCACAACTTGATGCACAAATGCGGTTGTTGGAGACTCTGACTCAACAGCTCAGTATCCACAGCTCGACTTCACATGCTATTTCAAGTACGTCTTGTCATGCAGTTGCTAGCAGCATCCCAGAATTCATCTTTGATCCCGAAAGTGGAAATACTTTCCTCACGTGGTTCAAACGTTGGGAAGATACATTTAGAACAGAATTCTGTAACCCAGAAGATGCGTGGAAGACCCGATTGTTGGTACGTAAGTTGGGAAGCAATGAACATGCACGTTTTGCTGACAATATATTGCCAAAGTTACCTCGAGAGCTCAGTTTCGAGACGGTATTTCAGTTGTCAGAGATATTCGGCGAGTCATCCTCGTTGTTTAGTATTCGATATCGGTGTCTAAATTTGGTGAAACGCGAAGCTGATGAATAAAGTGTTTTAGCAGACATCGTCAACAGAGAATGTGAACGTTTCAAGTTACGCTCGTTGACTGATGACCAATTTAAATGCTTAATATTCATCAAAGCTCTTCAGTCACCACAAGATGCTGAGGTCAGGACTAGACTTTTAGCTCGGCTGGATCAAGACGCAAACGTCACACTCAGAACATTGACAGATGAGTGTAAGCGTCTACAAAGCATCAGACACGACAACCAGTTGATTGAACAGGTAAATCCTAATTTAACCTGCGGTAGTGTAAATACTATTACTAGGTTAAAAGTTCAGAAGCCGGTAACAACTCGTAACAAACCAAGGACTGCATGCTGGTTATGCGGTGATTGGCACTATGCACGTTTCTGTCCATTCAAGAAGCATAAATGTCAGGCGTGCAACAAACGTGGACATAAAGAAGGTCATTGTCCACCGAAGCGTACGTCTCAGCCTAAGAAGAAGCATAAACGTCCTCGACTTGTGAAATCAGCCGAGTCTAAATCTCTTTCTCTGGTAGCTGCCTTTCAAACAAACTATGACATTCGAAGAAAGTATGTTACCATCCAGATAAACGGCATATCAGCTCGTCTCCAAATTGACACGGCATCAGATATCACGTTAGTGTCTAGAGAAACGTATAACTTGCTGGGTAAACCGCCAATGAAACCATCTAAGAAAACGGCTAAAAACGCATCAGGTGGTGTGCTAAAACTGGTTGGTGAATTACAGTGTGAATTTTCCTTCAATGGAACTAACTGTACAGGAATATGTTACCTAACGGAACGGCCGAACCTTGATCTTCTTGGTCTAGATATGTTAGACA